ACAACTGCACAAGGCAATGTACCAATGATTTATTGACAATTTTAAATCGTCATGGGCACCAGGAAATGCCAAAAGATGCAAGCACACTTTTGCGTACAAGAAGAGTTGTGAAAACAGCACTTTTAAAATATGGAAATTACATTTATTATGGCATAAAACGAGGCAATATATTAAAAATATATTGCAAGTTCAAGACTTTAACTCCACTAAATTTAATCTTATATGTAATGTAGATGGTCTACCGCTCTTTGAATCCAGTGCCTACCAAGTTTGGCCTATACTTTGTCAATTTGGATATTTCAAACCGTTTGTTGTTGGATTGTATGGCGGTGAAATAAAGCCATGTGTTTCTGAATTATAAGCAGATTTTGCATAAGAGGTAAAAACTTTCAAACAGCCAGAAGAAACATTTGGTAAAAATTTCAATATTTCTTTGTTAGCAATAACATGTGATGCTCCTGCTAGGGTACTCTTAAAAGGCACAGTTAAACATTCTGGATACTATGCATGTGAGAAATGCAATTTGCGTGGTTTTTATGTTCATGGTCGTATTATTTATGATAAATGTCATGAAACAGTTACAAAAAGAAACAATGCTGATTTAAAAGCCGAATTATACTCTCAACAAGATAAAGATGGTTGGTGCCATCATCATACACGAACTCCACTGTTTTACATTGAAGATTTAGACATGATTCAGGATTTTGCTCTTGACTATATGCACTTAGTTAATTTAGGTATTATGAGACGTATGTTATACTACTACAAAGGTGCATATGCCCACATATTTAATGGTCGTTTATCAACACCTTATTTGAAAAAAATTTCTCGTTTACTCATTAATTTAAATGGGACATTGCCATCAGATTTTGTGCGTCAAAAAAGATCTTTAGAAGATGTCAATATATGGGAAGCCACAGAACTAAGAACATACTTACTATATGCGGAGATCGTTGTTTTAAAGGATATTCATATTCCTAAGATGTATAAACATTTTCTCAGCTTATCTTTAGCAATCCGCATGTTGTGTGAGGAGAATAATAATGTTAGGAGAACTTATTTGAGCCATGCAAAAAAACTCTTGGAGTATTTTGTGTCAAACGCTCATAAACATTTTGGTGACACATTTTGTGTCTACAGTGTTTACTGTCTTCTGCATATAACAGATGATGTTGAACATTTTGAAAGTAGTTTGGACGAGATTTCTTGCTTCCAGTTTGAGAAGTTTTTGCAACATTTAAAAAGATTAGTACGAGGTAAACAAAACCCTTTAGTAGAACTTGTAAAACTCCTAAGCGAACATAAATCAGATGATCCACGTAAAGCGAAAATAATAACTATGATGTTTCCAAGAATGCTTGTTTCATGACAAAATATTTTGTTGTTTTTACTAAAAATTTTTTACCAAATGATCAATTAGTTTATGACATCTATAAAAAGAATCATTCAAACAATTTCTTTGACAGCTTTGTAGAATCTAAGATACTTAATATATACTATATCAAAAACCATTGCCTATTTTAATTATACGGCCGGATATTTTACATTTTGAAGAAAAAAATAGAAGGCCAGTTTTCTGAAAAAGTGTTTTTAAGAAAGCAGCTTTGGAAGTTTAAAAAGATGGTTAACAAATGTTGCGTCGTAAATTGTCGTTCAAATTATCATAATTATGGTGAAGTATCTACAGTAGTATTTTCGTTTCCAAAAAATGAAGAGTTAAAAAAATATTGGATTAAATTTGTAAATAGAAAAGATTGAACACCTACTAATTCTTCCGTAATATGTATAAAACATTTTGAAAAAAAATATTATAAGAAAGGTAATAAGAATCAACTTTTAGATTAATAAAAAATTTAAAAACAAATTTGACTGAAGAAGGTTCATTACAACTTATAAAATCTTCTAATTCATTAAGGAAATCACCAACTAAAAGAATATTTCAGCCAGATCAGTATGAACAGTTTTTATTGAATGATTTGATTAATAGCTTTAACGATATTACTGAAAGTTTTGCTCCAGATGGTTTTTCATTCTTGAAGTATGATGATCATGTAATTTTTTATAAATTGAGTCATAGTACTTTATCTATTCCAGAGGTTACAGAGTGCATTCGTGTAAACAATGAGATGCATGTTAAATTATTTTACAGAGGTTCACCTCTGCCATTACCTCAGTGGTTTTGTCAAGGAAGAGATTGTCGTTTATCTTGTAAAAGTATGCTTCATAATTTTCCTACCTACATTAAATCACAAACCGAACAATTTTCATCTGTATTGACTGAATTACAGCAAATTAAATATATGAAAAAACCTATTTATTCAGCCAACATTATAAGGTATTCACTGATATTACGATATACTTCTATGCAGTCATACCAACTTTTGCGTGACGAATTGCCTTTACCATCATTATCATTACTTAAAAAAATAACTAGTGGAAATATTGATGCTCTAAGTTGTGCAAAACGTTTAAAATTAGAAGGTAAGATATTTCAAGACATTTGCTTGATTTTTGATGAAATGTACTTGCAAAAATGTAAGGAGTATTTTGCTGGAGAGATGATTGGTAGTGATGAGTCTGGAGAAATGTATAAGGGAATAGTTTGTTTTATGATAGTTGGCCTGAAACAAAACATTCTATATGTGATCAAAACGTCTCCTGAAAAAACAATTAATGCTGAATGGTTGAAAAAAGAAATTTTTGAATGTCTTCGTATTTTAACTGAATGTGAATTTAATGTTAGAGTTATTGTGTGTGACAACCATTCTGCTAATGTTTCTTGTTTTAAAAAAATCCTTTGTGCATCGAATCAACAAGCTGAAGATTTGTTTTTTATTTACAATCTAAAAAAAATTTACCTCTGTTTTGATGTTGTACATCTTATTAAAAACATCAGAAATAATTTGTTAAATTGCAAAAGATTTTTATTTCCAGATTTTAACTTTAATGGATTTAAAGATCCTATAATTGTATGTGGGGGAGAAATTAAATGGAGTACCTTCCACAATATTTATGAAAAAGACCTCACTCTTGATGCTGGTTTGCGTAAAGCACCAAAAATAACAATGAAAGTGTTACATCCTGGCAATTTTAAACAAAATGTTTCTTTAGCACTTGCAATTTTTGATTAAACTACATCAGCAGCGATTCACTTATATTTTCCAGATCTTAAACGTAGTGCAGATTTTCTTACATTATTTAACAAGTGGCGGGTTTTATCAAATTCTAAATGTCAGTATTCAGCATGTAATATTTTAGGTAATGCAGTCGTTTCTGGTGATAAAAAACCTGAATTTTTTCGGGAAATGGCACATTGGATTGAAGTTTGGCAATCACAAAAGATACCAAACTGTGAGGAGTTTACTTTAAGTGTTCAGGCAGCTGCAGCACTAATAAGAACACTTAATAGTCATGCCTCATTGATCGAGGACTTGCTTAATGATGGATATCACTTTGTTTTAATTGCAAGATTTAAAAGTGACCCATTAGAAAGGAGATTTGGAAAATATA